CAATTTATGTTAATTTTTCCAATGTTCAGACTCAGTCTACCCAAAAGCACATGATATGCAATATTATGGTGCAATTTCTGCATTCCTAGATTAAAAAACATTTGTTCAGGATTCCAAACATCAAGAAGAAATGGTTTTTCTCTATTTTCTGGCTTAGATGGTTATTCTCAGTTTGATTACAGTGCCACACTGAAATCCATGCCTCTTCTATTTGCCTGTGACTTGGAATGATTTTGTTCGTAGTGTCTGTGCTTCACAGACTACTAAAAGAAGATCACAATCAAAGCAAGCAAGAGAGAATAAAGAAGTACAAGGAAGGGAAGCAACAGATACCAAGATTTGTGCAGTAAGAAAAACCATTCACTACAAAAACATGGTTCTCACTCACTCTGGAAACACAGTTTTACTTTCTTTTTCCCTTCAGTTTCACTCTTTGCATGAACCAGATCCCTATCCATTTGTACTGACAGTTTAGGAGTTATTTCCACAGTGGCTCTGTCTATAGGAAAACATTTGTCAGCATATAAAAAGAAGCATCCAGCTTTGCCAGACCATTGGTCCACCTTGACTTTTACCTTCTTTAACAGTGGAAACAGATGCCATCTGAAGAAAACATGTTATCATTTTATATGGCATGTCCAGCAGGTTTCTCCCAGTACAGGTAAAAAACATTCTAACAAATGTAAACTTTTGATATTTAATTTTGAACAAAATAAACCTATCCTCACAATATACCTTTTCCCTGCTCTGACAGTGTTTCTATTATAGATCTAGTTTGCATAGCATTGCTGCCTCAGGCTAATTTGTCTATTTAGTAAGACCTAGAAACTTAGCTATAGCTACAACGGCTATAGCTAATTATTTCTGTATGCAGTCAAGGGCTTAGGGATGGATTTGGGTCTACTATACCATGAGTGAATAGGACTCTCCAAGATAAACTATTTTAGTGGGTTTGTATTCACTGTGAATACTGTTGTGAACTGTGCTATGATTTTGTAACTGCCAAAGCTGTTCTAAGCACAGGAAAACTTTTTGCTCTCCATTCTTACCATCTATTTCCCGTTGACACCTCCTCACCTGTATGCCTAAGAATGCACTGTATTTGGGGTCACTGGGCAGAGGATCATTGCTCCAACCATAGCACCAACAGGAGGATGCACACTGTGGGCACACGGGCTGCACGTACAGCTTGCAAAATGCTCTTAGCCAAACACACTATCTGAAGACTTTTCCTTGGATTAAAATCTACTATTCGAAGTAAACTAGACAGAAAAGCAGTAAAACATACTTATGTTTACGGGATCAGTGCCCAATATTTACCATGTGGATTAAAAGATTTTAAATCATGTGTCATACAGCCTAAATCTGAAAGTGTCATACAGTCAGGAAAGTCTACTCCCAGATGCACAGGCCCAATGGTTAGAGAGACTCATTTGAATCTCTCTTCATACACAAAATACATAAAGAAGTTCCGAGCCAGATTAGTGATACTTACACCATCATGAAGAAAAATGGTTATTAAAAATTCAAGTGTTTCCCAAATGTAATAGCATAGTAAAGCTGTGCCACTAGATTTCCTTCTATGTTCAGGGAAATGAAGTTGAAAACCCAAACCCAACACACACATTCATAGTACCAAAATCATAGCAAAATTGAAAGTAGTACTGAATTCTTTTACATGTCTATGATGCATATTAAATACAGTAAGCAAGATAAAAAGGCTTGTCAAAGAGAAATAAAGTGTTACTCTACATCATTAAGAGTTTTAGTGAAGTTAAAAGATTTATCAGACTTTCTGCTGAAGAAAAGGAAATAGCATGTGATTAAAGGAAAGGAAAAAAAAAAGAATACAGAAAGAAAGAAGGAAGTAAAGACTAAAAAGATGTCCTAAGGATCAAAGATGCTTTAATGGATCAGGAAGCAATGGCATCTCATAAAGCAGAGAAAGCACCCTCACTGAATTTATCTGTAGCAGCCAATGGCACGTGACACGCAGCGAATTAAATACCATCTCTGAAAACTATTAGTTGTCAGAAAAAGAAAGAGTAAATATTTCTAAGCAGATCGGTTTTGTGTTAACGCTTCACTAGATGCCTACTAGCAGCAATAAACTGGTTTGTTAAGTGCTTTTAAGGTAGAGTAGCTGCACAAAACATTTTTATACCTCTCCTTTGACTGGTAGCTGATGGAGGTGGAAGAATGCCGGTTGAAGCTAAAATGAGACAAAAATTGCATTTGAAAAAAATATACAAAAATATTGGGATCTCATGTCCTACTGTGAATTTCCTATGACTAAGACGTGCTCATAAGTGCTCAAGTAAACCACATGTACTGATCACATAAGAGCAGTGTTATATCATATTTTCCTTATTTAAGCTAGGAATCACAGTGAAACCTGAATAATGGTAATATAAATAAACAAGCTGCTTCCTAAGTCACTCTCATCCAGTTTTGCTGGTTTCTCTCCAGAAGGAATAACCAATGCTTAAAGAGCTTCAAGTTTATTTAAAACTTTCCTGCTATGCTTTCTTCTTTGTAAGTGAGATCATAAGTGAAGCAGTCAGAAAACACTGCAGATGTGAAAATAAGAGTAACACAATTAGTTAGGGATTAATGACTTCAAACATTCCTCTTTAGGAATATTATAAAGATTTTACTCATGCTAGGTGTTATGCATATGGCCTTGCTCACAAAAGCAGTAACACTACAGAATTGGATCTACCAAAGTTTAAAATCAGATTTAAATAGTTAAGGACATTGATCAAGAGAAATCAAGATCTTTAGGTCCCTCCCAGCCCAAACTATTCTATGATTTCCAAGAAAGCAATGAAGACATAGCTCTTATGGAAGATTTTTATCAGTCCTAAGATGTAGAGTGATGAAATATGAATAGATGTGCTCTGTCTGGCCAGAGCAGTCACCAAAGCTTCTATTTAATTTCATCTTCTGACTGATGGATACAATTCAATCCTCAGCTGAGAGAAACCCTAAAATCAAACCTTTTCTGTAGCTCAGAAGAAATAATAGGTTTGGCATGCCAGTGTTTTGTGAAGCTCAAAAATACACCGTTATCATTTCTTAGAAAGCAAGGGACCTTACCTGTGTATAAGAGACTTTTAACTGCCTCCTACAACAACTACATAGAACCCTCTGCTCACACAAACATGTGATCATTCCAACCGACTAAAAGAGATTTATTTGTAAAACAAACAGTGGATGAAATAGTCCCAGTGACATTTAAGAGCCTAATTGTACTTCTAAAATGCAGAGTACTCTCCTTCGTGACAGCACAATAAGAGGAAATGGCCTCAAGTTGTGACAGGGGAGGTTTAAATTGGATATTAGGAAAAAATTTATTCACCAAAATGGCTGTCAAGCATTGGAACAGACTGCCCAGGGAAGTGGTGGAGTCACCAACCAGAGAAGTCATCAGCCCTGGAGGTATTTAAAACACTTGTAGATGTAGTTCTTAGGGATGTGGTTTAGCAGTGGACTTGGCAGTGCTGGATTAGGAGCTGGACTTGATTTTAGAGACTCTTAAATGATCCTATGAGGCTCACAATGGGCAAATCAGGTCCTCTTAAGGTATCTTATATAGATACTCACAAATAATTTTCTAAGTAACTCATCACTTTGGAATTTTGAAAGTTCATACATAAAACTAGAAGTCAATGGCAGTAACATCCTTGCATCTGTTTCTACCTTCTATTTGTGGTAATATTCACCAACTTCTTGAAACTAAAGTTATGATTAGTATACATCCACTCAAATAAATACAATTACATCGGCAGTTAATGTTATTTCTTATGTTTTATCAGGTCCGTACTGGAATTACTTCTCCTGTGTAACTCCCATGGCTGTAAACAGACATGTTTCCATCCTAAAACTGAAAACTCTTCTGATGTTCTGTTCTGTAGCTATTTCATTTTTGCATCGGTTTCAGCAATGTGAAACCAATCAATCTGCTATCATGTATTACCTATGCACAGCACTTAACTGCTGTTTTCTCTGATTCTCTTGAGAAAGACCATTATACTTCTTGAAGAGAAGCCTTCAAATTTGTGCACTTTGATCATTTCAAACATCACCTTTGGGTGATTCCTAACTACCTTTTTATATAAAGACAAGAGAGACATGACTAATTATAATCTCAGATGTATTGCTGATTCAGTTTTTCATTATTTCTGAAGACTGTGTTCAAATGAATCTTAAAATTGACCATTCTCTCCTCTGTTAGTGTTGTCAAAGCATTAATGAAAGCAGTGAAAAGGCTTAGAAGTGAGGCAGTACACAGCATTCTCTATTTCTAGTGATAGAAGCTACCTTACCCTGTAGTGGTCTTTCATTAGTCATGATTAAGAGCATAATAAAAGAAGATTCGTGATTCCTGTGTGTTCACCAAGAAAAAAATAAAGGTAGTCCATCGTTCTCACCCAGTGTCACTAGACAAATATTTTCATTTCAGGATGGCAAAACCAGCACAAACCAAACAGCTGAAATACCTTAGTTTCAAAAGGACCTCTTGGTCACCCACTACATTTTTAGATGTAGTTGAGTTGTTTCCTAGTTTAGTTTTCATGTGAAAGCTCAGGAAGCAGACTATTCCTTTAAATTCATCATTGCTTGTCAATAGTTTTTGCCAAGTCAATCTCTTAAGAAACTGAAAACTTTAAATCAGAGAGCGTAATAGAAAATCAAAACAAATTAAGTCAAAAGAAGAAGAAGAGAGCTTTACAGATATACCTAGACTGAGATGAGATAGCAGATGAAATAGTGGAAGCTGCTAATGACATGTTCTTGGACCCATGCAAAGGCTTAGGCTGTGAAAGAGAGCTGGGGGCTGCAAGTACTCTGCAGAAGACACAGTAAAAGCAAGATAATTTAACAGGGACAAAAATCATGACATCAGAACCAAGCTTTGTCGGAGTTCAGATACAGGAGCACTGCTGCATAGTTACCAGGAACAGGGTTTCTGTAGCATACATCTGCAGACTTACAGAATAGCACAACCAAGCACATTCCTACAGAACACAAGACAAAATGCACATATTATGTCAAAAATCTTAAAACCAGACTCTATTGGGAACTAAGAAAGACAATAATACAGAACAGGACTTTTGTCAAGGATACATGCTTTTATCTGCAAGATCTGAAGATGTTTGAGTCTGAGCACAAAATAAAAATTTGAATAAGAAAGCAGTACCAGACAGAAGATTCTCCTATTTAAAACAGAAGTCATTGGAATGATTAGTTCAGTAGAGGCATTTTTTTGTTTGAAGCATATGCTAGAAAATCCATTTTCTTCATGCTACAGTTTCAACTGAGGGATAAAATTACTTAAACCTTATCGTTATTTCACGTGAAAGTGCCTTACAGCCCTGTTCTGAATTACAGCACAATGCCTTATACTCCTTTGCTGGCTGGCTGATTGATTTTCTTGCACTGGAATAAAAACACTGGATTCTGGCAGGTCACAGTTAGGTAAAAACTAACTAAAGTGAGAAACTGAGTAGTTGGTATATGTGCGTAATCTAAGTCAACTACCAAAAATTAAGCAAGCAGTGGAACCAAGAGAACATTTCCAATTCCATTTAGAAATATCTAAGATATGACTGGCTACATCTGAGGTCTCATATTTAAAGTAGTTTACATTACTGGAAGTGTGTTTTTCCTTGGATGTTTAAAGCATGCTAAAATAGACATCTTTTCAGAATATTGATGTGGCAAAACCCAAAGATAAAAGAACACCATGCACCAAAGGAATTCACTCTTACTATCTCCAAAATTTCTGTCATGTAAGTGACAGCTGTATAAATCCCACACATTTCTGTCTGACAGCTTTTAATATACAACTGTAACTCCCACCGTACTACAAGTGTTACCAATGCCTACTTCCTTGAAACTCACTTCAGCTCTAAGGCTAATTCTCATTAGAGAAAAAAAAAGATTAGATTAATCTAATAGAAATTAATTAACCTACAGAGCAAGTCAATCATCAAGTCCACCATGTTTTACTGCTATGTCATCTGCTATGATATGGTGAGCTCAATCACGTGAGTGAAAATTTAATTTTCCATTTCATGTCCTACTGCAGAAACACTATTAAAAGAACCTTTGTTCACTGTAACTATTATGAGTTGTTGTTTGGGTTTGATTACAACTGGTGAAAAAACATTTCTATTTTTATCCCTAGACTTGCTTTTTGAAAATGCAGGTAACATTTTCAGGACAGTTATATTTTGCAGATTCTTTGCAAACATGTCCCTCAAAACTAAAAAAACCCCAACAACAACAAAAAAAGACAACAAAGCCCCCAAAAAACCCCAACCCATCCCCTGCTCCAAAACAAACCCCCCCAAAAACCCCAACCCATCCCCTGCTCCAAATATATAAAAGCATATAAACCATATTACAGCTCTTCATACTACATTCTTCAGTTAAGAATGTGTATGCAGCATTCCAGAGCCATACAGGGTATAGAGCAATGAAGCATTACCTTTGGAAGGAGGATGAGAAAGACTCTTGCACTATTGAGGTGTTTGCTGGTGGTGTCATCAGGCTGGCTGTATTTGGAGCAGCAGTAGCAGGCTGAGGTGCTGAAGCATGTGGTGCAGGAGCAGCAGAACTGGTAGACACCGGAGCATGCTCAACAGGGGTACTAATTAGAGTTAAATTAAATAAAACAAGAAGCATCTTCAGAAGGCACATATTTAAACGCAGAGCATAAAACCTACTATGTTTGAACCTGGAGCTGCAAACATAGTAGCAGGCTGGGTTACTGAGGGAAAAGCACAATTATGCAAAGAAAGACATTTGTTCAGCCTTTTCCATTGTGCAGTTCAGACTGTAATGCAGTTTTGATGCTGCTTGACTGAAATTTATCCCAGGTGTTACACTGCACTTAAGTCCTGCTCTTACTGGAGCCAGTAGGTAGGAAATGTGGCATGCAGGACTTAAATGTTTGCAAAGAGCTTTGTCACAAACTCTTTCAACTTGGATAAATTTCATCCAATATTTACTCCTGAACTTTATGTTAGGAGTAAACTTTTTAATTAGATGAAGAAAAGCATTTTAAAGGTTATTATCATAGTTCTGTATCAGCAGTTTTCCTGCAAATTCCGATTATTCTTTTGGGGAGGTTCAGTTTATTCTGCTCCACTAGCTCTTACATCAAATGAAAACACCAAAATAAAATTATTAAAGGGACTTAAAGATTCAAGTTCTTCACTAACTATTTCAATGAACATAATATCAACATAGAATAATAATAATATATACATTCATTATTCACTTGTCAATAACCCTAATAAAAATCACTAGGTCATTTAAAATTAAAAGGGAGAAAAAAAGAGAAAGAAGGAGGGAAAATTATTTTGTGTTTAGGCAGATTTTACTGTGGATCTTATGAATTATTATCCACAGAACAAATAAGGCACTAAAAATAACAATTTGCAATTTAATTTTTCAGATTATTAGACTATTTTGAGGCACAAATTTTGGTGACAATATATGTCCCCTAGGCATAGGAGACACTTTCTTGATGCCATATTATTGCGATGTGGATTAATTTTTTTTAGTAGTTATTCAAATACTTGTTTATTTTTTAAAATCAGGACATTACTGTATGTGACATAGTTGTCTTGTCCATGAACAGTGGCCTAAGAACATAATCGATGTATTTCTACTTCTTTTGACCTAACTCATAAACACACTGGCACATCTTTGAGTTCTTACAAATTACTCCTATCAGGGTGATGGAATTTGATGATTCTCTTGTGCAAGGTACAAAGAATGTCCAAAATGCTCCTTCCTGAGCACAGTATCAAATAACAAAAGAAAGCTTAAAGTTACACAACTTTTTTTTCAGCCAACCTTAGTCCTCAAACATTCTTCCTCTCAGATTTCTTTCCTAAGCAGATTTGCCATCCATTGTGCAAATTTTCTCTCTGTCAGCCATTCTATCTCAGATTTAATTTTGCTTCTCTCAGAAGTGCTGATCTGGCAAATTATTCACCTCAGGACCTAGAATGAGTGCTCAGTACTTCAGAATTTGTGATAACCCTTGTTCTTCAAGGGACCATCCCATTTCCCCTGTCCTCTTCTTGTATGTTCAGTAGTCTAAATGCTGAGTCTTAATTCAGCTGAATATTTTCTGTTTGATTAGCTGAAACACAAGCATGGTTGTTACATCCACAAATTTGAAAGTTGAATGCAACCCACAACAAAAGCAGAAAATCAGTATTTTCTCCCTTATGAGTTCCATCTGCAATTATATATAGAATAAATGAGCTCCTGAAAATACTCATCCAGTTTGCAATTCTGGGTTTCAAATCATGACTTCAGGTTTTGCAACAGTTTTGCAAAAGTTTCTCCATCATAATATGCATTTGAAATTCAGAGCAGTTCTTCCATCTTGATGCATTTTATGATGTAAATTCTCCCAAGTAGCTAATAGACTATCAATTCCCTAGCCAATGTAGCACAGTAGATGTGTATTACCCATCCAGCTATGGGTCATGGCCTGGTGTGTTACTGAGTTTCAAAACCCATTGCATTTTTTTTCCTTGTGCTCCTGGAATGATCAAATTAAAAGGTGTGAGGTCACAGTTTAGTACTTACATATCTTTGATCTGGCAAATAGGAAAGGACTAAAACCATGCTGCACATAAAAATGGAACTTAATATACATCTTAAAACCAAACACAAACTAGGATTTCACCTATTTTGTCTATTTTCACTGATGTGAAAGGGAATTTGCTACAGATTTCAAAAGACTGAAGACTTCACACCTTGAAGAGAAGAAAACAGTGAACGTACTTAACTGTAACAATCTCCAAAATGATAATCAAAATTCATATTCAGTGCTATATATTGAAAAGGAAGTAAAAGAAAAAAACAATATGTGTGGCCATGGACCTGTGTGAAGAAAGATTTGAACAGAACAAACACATAAATAAATAAAATAAATGCAAGTATACTGGAATACCTGATAAAGCTTGAAAGAAATCCAAGTAAATTTTATCTTGCATAGTGTTTGTAACTATTTCTTTTTATGTGACTAAAGTGTTGATTACCTTCCTTCATGGCAGAATACATTAGTTAACAGAACAAGAAATTGGAATAAATATAAATGAAATAGATATAACCTTAAAATGATTTGGTTACATAAATTATATGCAGTTGGTAACATTTTCAACTCAGTTTTATAGAAAGACCTCTAGAGTAACTTGACTGGTTTTAATCTAGCAACTATAAATTTGAAATAATTTTATTTAAATAGTCAAATAAAATTACCTAACATTTTTTTCCCCTTAAGGTTGCCTCCATTCTAGATTTCCAATATGATTTTTTTTAGTTCTCCAACTGTAGAAGAATTCTAAGACCTGATAAATGTGATAAATGTTATAAAACAGATCATCTATTCTAACAGTTTCATTATTACATGTTACAGAGGTTCATTTGTTTGATTTAAATACAGTCATTCTGTACACTTTCAATCTTTACACTACTTGGTACTTTAAGGAAAATCAAAGGAAACTGAAAAAATCAAACATCTTCATATTTGTGGTAATAAACGTAAGTTAGATGGATGAAAACAAACACACATCTCCTCTCAGCTGCTTTTCACTCATGGAAAGGAACACAGATCAGTAGAGGTTAAGGGGATAATAATGGTTAACAACCATAATGAGAAAACACAGCAACAAATGCACTCTAACACTTAGAGAAGTAAGTGCAGATTATGCTTCTTTCTCTCAGTAAAGTCCTAAGTTCTGACACTTTCTGTCCAAATGACAATCGAGTGGATTATCAAAGCAGTACTCAGTCTCCTTGTAGTAACACATGAAGGTTTTTTTTTTGTTTCTAATCCTCCAACAGATCACTTGTAATGAATTGAAATTATAGGGAATAGAAATAAAAATGGATAGGAAAAAAATCTCTTATTGTAGCATTTGCAGAAAAAAAGTACTGGTGAATGTGTTTAGAGAAAGCCATAACAGGGAAGAGTATCACATTTGAAGATGGGAATGTTTGTAGAAATACAGTGAAAATACAGAAATATCAGCTGCTGTTTCTCTGCTGAAGATACTCAATGACTCTTGTCTCTGTACTGTAGGTGTGATCCTTAGGAGTGCCACTGATATAACACCCACAGGAACTAGAAGATGCTGGAATTCGTAGAACTTGGACACCTGCTCCTTAGGCAATGGGCATTTCCATCTGAAGGAGTTAGAGGTTGTTATTACCAAACCATTCCAAAGCTCCAAACCAGGTCAGTTATGCAGTTACACATCACAGTGTACCTTTCATTACTGGATGAAGTAAGAGGGACTTTCTGGCCAGTAGTGGTGAAACTGGCCTCCCTCTGACTTGGACCCGCTCCAAGCCTCACAGACCCCTTGGAGGCCACTGGCTTAGCATTGTCAGTGTTGGCATCCCTGGTGGATGATTTAGGAGGATGCCAAATACTGGAGGTCACATACTGTGGTGCATGCTCAGTAGCTGTAGGCCTGGGTAACAAAGATTACAGGGGGGTTTGTAAATGAGGCATTTCCTAGGTAATAGCAGGTCTTTGAGGAGGAGACAGGATTCCAGCCACAGAAGAAGCTGGAGATCATCATGATATTACAGATGAAATAATGACAAATCTTGGCATTTCATTAGTTTATTACTGCTTAAGACCAGGAAAGGCTGAAGAACTAAAAAAGGTACCTTATGTTAAATCTGGAAACCATATGGCTATGAATATCAAAATCAGACATATAGCAGACATGTGATGATAGTGGAGGTGGAAGGAGGCTATGGTATGACAAATCACACAAGATTAAGGCAATGGAGTATGACACTAACACCAGCCATATATCAGAAATTGTTCCTGGTAAAATAAAATGATAATTAAAAGGAAAGGAGATTTCAGTGGAGCAGCTGCCTAGTCCTGTAGATGGCCTTGCACAAATGAAACTGCTGGTGAAATGCTAACATGTGATGCTTGCTTTTCACAATTTAGTTTATACATAGGAATCAATGGGTTTATTTCCTTCTTTTTTTATACCATATATTATAATGAACTACATTTGAACTTATTAACAGACATTGTTTTGAACCTCATAACCCATCGAGGAGCAATCAAGATGTGCAAGAGTCTGACATATAAATGTTCTTGAAGTACCAAAAAGATCATCTAATTTAGATTTTGAAAACATCTTGAACAATCTAGTCAAGGTTTAAAATGGAAATTGTTCTTAAAACTCCATCACAAACTGACAATAATCCACTTCAAGAATATTTAATAAAAACTTCATATTTTTCCAGGCTTGTAAGTTCTGAGGAACATGATCCCCACCTGTCTCATGTCACAGCACTTTTTGTAGTCAACATTAGAAAGAAATGTCTAATGAACCCATTTAGTTGAAGCCTCTACATTCATCATCTGCTCAGTGTACAAATTTTATGTTTTTGACACAAGAACAATATGGGGAAAGTGGAGATAGATAAACTCTTAATAGGAAGTAAGTCAAACACAGCAAACATTACCTGTTTTCTGATGCTGCAGCAACATTTTCCTTGTCTCTGTGAAAGGAGGGGATACAGCATGAATGAAGTAAATGCAATTGCCACTCCTGGCAAAAATCCCACCCAAAAACAACCAGGGAAAAAGAAGATGGGTTGAGGAGAAATGTTTGGTTGCAAAAAGCATCCTAGAGTGGTTGCCATAAATGTAGCTGTGAGAAACCTCTTCAGCTGTTTACTGTATGCTTCTTATCAGTTGCAAACAACTTTGTTTCAATAATAAAGTAAAAGGAAAATTAACAGTAACAAATTGGACATTGTATGTGTATATGTAATTTCAGGAATAGTTTTGACTCTATTCAGTTGCCTTTTCAAAGAAAATAAAAATCAAGACTATTCCAGCAGAACATATTTTGATGCCAAATCCAAGCAATAAAAATAATCAGATTTGGGCATTCCTCAAGGATCTGATATTTTGAAGTGATAAGCAGTTAAATGGTTCACAAAGGTTCATACAAGAAGGAATTTTTTTATGCCTGGCATCACTTAAAAATTCTCTGTCGTATCCAAATACTAGTTTTCTCAACATAAATTTTATTGATTTAGGTTGAGCTTGATTGAACTGACTCTGTGATTCTGTGAAATCATTCCTTCATTGAGGTGAGGAGTAAGTCAGCCTCAATTTCACTGATAGAGAACTAGGCTGTTATTCTGTAAACACACATACACACAAAAATTACTCATCAGTTTAAGTGCAAGCAATTGTGTATCTGTAAGAAGTTAAGACATAGGTATTTTCCTAAAGAATAAAATCCATTAGTCTTAAGTTCCCAAGTTTGAAATCCAATTAGTTAAGTAAATGAGATAGTCTCAATATTTAGCAATTTAGTGGGTGGTTACATCTCTTCCTATTTAAGGAATTGTGCTGAAATTTCAACAGGTTTAGAGTTGAAATATGCCAAATGCCACTTTTCTTAACTGGGATCTAAAATTACAAAACACAAAGCAAATGTCCTTGTACCCAACTGAACCTTCTTTCTGAAGCATCCTTTGGGAAAAAAAAGGGAATATGTGTATTTATGTGGATTTGTTTGGCTCCAATCATTAACTTACATTATGTTTGGAAGGCTATTCTTAATATTTTCCATATCTATAGTAGTATTTTATATATTTCTCTGTGTTTGTGTACTTACACATACATATATATGTACAGTCACATACTCTTTCCTTAGTTCAATTCTACTAAAGTTATATCCAGTTTTGATCAGCAAAGGCTTGGGCATAGGTGTTCTCTACAAATTTTTAAAACCTCTAACTAAAATGTAACCCCTAAAATACATGAATTGAAGCCAGATGTTCAAACCTAGAAACATATGTGAAATGCCCCTCAGATGTGGCTGTCTGACTACGAATGGTACTGTGGTTGGTATGGAAGAGCCTGTCATAAAAGCAAACACCCCAATAAGATCAATCAGCTCACCACTCTGAAGCAATGAGAAACCAAACACTGTCTTTATGGTAACCAAGTTGTGAGTTCACTGCAACGTCAAGTATAGGAAAGCCAGGATGAAACAAGGTAGAGAAGGATTAGATACTGTGCACACATCTGTGTGTGGGAAGGGTTAGTAGACCAAGAGCTACAATCATGCAAGAATGTTACAAAACACAGTCACAGCCCAAAGAGAATAAAGCATTGTTTACTTCCAGTGTTACCAAACATTCTAGGAGACATACAGCCAAGACCAAAAGGCAGGCAGTGGGGGTCAGGCTCTAGCAGTGTTAAGCCTCTGTTGTTACTATTAATCTGATCCAAACTTTTCTGCTCCACTAGCTGTGGCTACACCGAAGAAGGCCAAAAAAAAGTCACTTGACTTTGAGGTCAGGATTTCACAAAAGTTTTTACCTTAAGGGTACATAGCATACAAGTGTATATAGGATAACGCTGAGTCAAAGTTTTTTCCTTAAGGGTACATAGCGTACAAGTGTATATAGGATAACGCTGAGTGATGATAGCAGGGGAGTTGTGAAGGTTAAAAAGAGAGAGAGAAGTATATTAAAAATACTTCCACAGAATACAGCAAAGGAAAAGGCAGAGAGTAAAGGGAAAGATGAGTTCAAAGGTGCACAATACTTCTTCATGGTTTTGCTTCCAGAAACTATTTCTCCTCCCAGTCTACAGGAGTAATTCCCATTTGGCTTACAGTAAGAAAGGCTCAAGATCAGATGTGCTTCTTATTGGCAATACTTGCATTTGGGGAATAGACTATTGGATTTCTGGCCTTTACAATCAAACAGTTTTTGCTAACCAATACAGAAATAATTTCACTTTTGAGTCAAATACATCCCTGGGGCAGGCTCAGTAAAGTCAATACCTTCACAGTGTGAAAGAATTTGGCTCAGAATATTATGAGCAGTTTCTATCTCTGCGGCTACACAGGCTGCTCAAATAACTGACAACAGAGGATAATAGTTTTGAGCTATCTGGGAGAGAGAGAAAATTCATGTTGGTTTTTTTTATCTTTTGGGTTTTTTTTGTCTGAAGTCCTTTTAGTCCCCACTGAAATGGCATTTGATAGAAGGGCCTTAATCAATGACTGCCCTGAGAGAACAGTGCAACTCCCACAGATTTCATTATATGTAGGATGTATATCTCCAACAAGAATTATTTATGCAATATACTGTCTTCCCAATTACACAGTATATTATACATTGGAAATTATTAAATGTTTCCTTCTCATAAAAACATACCACATGATATGGCCATGAAAACAGAGTGAATGAAATTATAGAAATAGAGTTTTTCCCTCCCACACACCCACATGAATTATAATAGTTTGAGTAACAGAACGCAAAATTAATTTGCAAGTCAAGCTTGTGTGTGCTATTGGTTCACAAAAAGAGCCTGGAGAAACTTCAGTTTCCAATAAATGAGTATGTTGTATCTAAACTGTAGGTACTGGACACTGGAATATTTTCCCATTCTACTTTATTTTTGGAAACCAAATGCAAAAGATTCCCCAACAAGTATGTGTACCAGGCAAGCTGAAATGTGGAGGTTGTGCACCTTCCATCTACCTTCTCCTTAGAGAGTAACAGATCTAGAATCTCTCTCTTGAATAGCTCTGCTGTGTTCCACTAAAATGTTGTAGAGACAGAATCATATGATTTGTAATGAAGACCTGATGACACAAGAAATATGAGGCATCCCAAGACACCACATGGTCCTTCAACTACGCTCTGTACTGAAGCAATAAGTGAATACTGTAATTGAGTTTTTTCTCCATACTCTCATGGAGCAAGACTATTTTTCTCATTTTACAAATCATAAACTAAAACCTAATAAAATTTCTAGTGGTCAAAAAGAAGGTCCACAGCAGGGAAACATGAAATAAGTTCACCTGAATCCTACCTGGGTATTTAAAATATCAGCTCACCCTCTTTAATGAGAGATTATAGATTTTTTTTAATATGTATTCAGTTTATTGGTATTTTCCTGTATTGATCATCCATTAGTCTTCTATGGAGCCTGATAGATATATATTGTCCTTTTTTAAAAGGGGAAAGAGATGTACAGGTTATTAGGGTCTATATCTATTGAAATTAAGAATTCTCTTTTTCCAGTAGTATGGTGTGAATTTTCAGAACTTCTCCTGGACTAACAATAACTTTCATCCTAACATGTACTTATATTTGCATAACCATATTTGCCTACAAATATAATTTCCTTTTAAGAAGCAGAAGTTACAAAATAATTTTAAAACAAATTCTTAAAAGGTGTCTGGGAGTAAAGTTGTGTGAAAGCTATTTCATAATTGCCTTCCAAACACTTTTGTCTGAAAGGCATGAGACGCTGATGCCGTGGAAAACTGAACACTGAGCTAGATCAACTGCTGTTCTGATCCACTGAGGCTATTTCTCCCTTTCTGTGTTCGCAGCTGAGAACTTTTCCATGGTCAGATGACTATAAAACTATTGAGATGGTTTGTCTTTTTTTCCCCCA